GTTTTTTTTTTTTTTTTTTTTTTTTTTTTTATTATTAATTCGTTACCAATGAAACACAGAACTGACAATTTGAATGCAATCACTCGTTGATTGATATTTCTTTAATCTTATGTATTTATATAATATGCGTTTTGAACAGTTGACAGTAATTTTATACAATATAAATGATTTTATATTTAACAATTTATAAGTTTTTGATAAAGGATAAGCAGTAGAAATGATTAAAAAACAAAAAAATATGAAATTTAGTTAAGTGCAACATAAATTTAATTTAATTAAATCATCTATTTTTACTTTCGTGGTTTAATAATATTTTTAAATCAATTTGAGTTTTTTTTCTCGCTAAGTAAGAAATATATTGTTAATTTACAATTGTATGCGTTAAAAAAAAGTTATGTTCTTTTTCACAGAATTATATACGATTTGCTTTTTCTAATGGCACAATGTGTGATTTGTATTGAATTATCACAAAATAAAAGACTCAATATTGATTGCATCAAGTTGACAATTTTCTAAAATTTATCGCGTTTTTCATAAAATATAAATAATATATAAATAAAGTATAAGATTCTGTATATTAAAAAATAGTGCGTATTCGATGTAAGTAAGAATTAGAAATGCATATTTTTTTTTTTTTTATATTTTCAATATAACTCTATGTATTATGCGCGCAAATTCTCGCTTTTGAAAAGTTTCAGAAAAGTGAAGTTACACACGCATGATCATATCATTTCTTGTATATTCTATATTCATCAAAACACGTAATTGACTATCTCCATTCGTTAGGGTTATTCAAATCAACCCTACAAGATGTTGCACCAACCAAAAAAATAGGAATTCCCTCGCCGAAAAAATGAATGTCCAGAAAAAAATCTTTAATCTCTCACAACTTCGCACGAAGTTCGCAACAAAAAGTTTATAAACAGCCATTAACACAACAGATCGAAACAAATTGGTTTTTCCTTCCAAGGATGACTAATAACGATAATGCGAGCATCACTGAGAAAAATATAAAGATCTTTATTAGAATTTTCCCTTTCGAGAGATTCTGTGAATCGTGCGCAAAAATCGACATGAATCGCAAGGTAAATGAAATTTCTCTTCTGTCTGAATCCGTTTCTCTCTTTTCATATTAAAAAGAGATAATTTTGTTTTTATGTTATTTAGAAGATTTTCATACGGTATCTACAAGAAATGCAACCCAATAGAATAGCTATACCAAAAAAACCATCTTACTGGTGTTTTCAAGCGGATGAAATTTTTTATAACAGTTCACAAGAAGAAGTGTACCGTGTCACAACCGAGGATCTTGTATCAAAGTAAGGAAAAAAATATATTTTCTCTTTGATCGATGTCGTTCGAAACTTTTTGATATACCGATTTACCGATGTTAACGATATTTTTTTTTTAAAAAGAAAAGGAAGTTTCGAACGGTATCGAATAATGATATCGATTGGAAATATAAAAGTTGATATAATCGAAGAATCACGATTTAAGAATTTTAGATGGTGTGAATTGTATTTTAATGGGCTACGGGCAAACAGGTTCTGGGAAGAGCTTTACTATGAGCGGTCTCCGAAACAACTGGGAAGTACGATTATGCGGAATATATTTTCAATTTTAAGTTTTTATATTGCAAAGACAGCGATTACATCCTTTTTCTCAGCACAGAGGCCTGGTCCCGCGACTTTTGACCCAAATGTTTGCTGAAAAGGCGAAAAGAAAAAAAATCAACAAAATAGAATACTGTATAAGCTTCATTGAGATTTATGGAAAAGAAACGAAAGATTTGTTACTCTCTACGGATAATAACAAAGTCAAGATAAACGAGCGAGAACCGTTCAAGGTATTAAAAGATATAAGATATTAAAAAGAGAAAGAAAAGATTAAGGAAGGATATTCGATGAGTATTTCTCAGTCAGAGAAATTGTAGGAAATCTCCATGATACCTGTGGATAATGAAAATGAATGTCTGAAAAAAATCTTTGAAGGAGAAATTAGGAGATCGATTGCAATAGGATCGACTTATCCAGCCTCTCACTTATCCATGTCTGTGATTACTTTTCATGTATCTAATCTTAGTTTAATAACATCATGGGGTATTGTAACGACAGCCAAAGTAATTATTCGTTATATTATTTGTATCTCTACGAGTTTTTTAAAGCGTGAAATTGAAGATAATAAGATTATGAATTAATTGGTTTTGTTCCTCTTTAATTAAAAATTTAATTAACATGTTAGATACATATTGTGGAAACAGCTGGTACAGGAACAGTAGGAAAGAATAGTTGTTGGAAAACAGCGACAGATATTGGTATGGCGAATTTAATGAAAACTCAGTTGGAGCAATTCTTTTCACATATAGAAAGTCCAGCCACTATTAATATATCACGCTCCAATAATTTGTTCAAGATTTTAGGAAATGCTTTTTCAGTTTCATCTATAATTCGGTTATTAAAAGGAAATTCATGATTGTATAATAGAATTTAAATTATTAAATTTACTATAATATGACTCATAATGTAATTGTAATAGGTTTATATCTCATATTCGAATCACGGAAGAAGATCTTGACATCACACTATCGACTTTACGACTCACCGCAAAAATTGCAAAGTTAAAACCAATCAGGATAAAAAAAGATATTAAATATGAAACGGATTTGATTATATATAAACTTCAGAACGAAGTTAATGCTTTGAAGAAGGAACTGATGTTGAACAACTTGATTTTAAATCAAGAAGCGCTAATGAATATTTCCAAGTCTCGGATGGAACAAATTAACCGGAGTATTTTTAATTTTTTAAACGACAAGATTTCGGACTTCACGCTGTTTAGTATGTCCCAGGCCCAAGTATTGTTAAAGTGTATCAAGGATTTATATAACAGGTTGCATAATCTGTGTTATGTATAGGATAGTTTTAGATTCAATTTCTAAATAAATGAATCGTTAGATTAACCGCCAAGGAAGTTGAAGTTGAAAAATTAAAAGAGACGTATGAAAATTTAATCAAAATCGTGCCGGAAAGTTCAACAGCAACTTTACTCAAGGTATTATTAATTAAATATTACATTTTTAATAAATTAATAAATTTAAACCATTATATTTTTATTTTGAATAAAAAAATGCTAGAAAACTCTATTATCTACCGATGAAATCAATGACCAGACACAAATTAAGAGTCCTTTCTTAAAACCTATTGATTATATGGAAGAAGATGAAAAAGAAATAGAAAAAGAAGTTGGAACATTAAAGATACTCAGTAGATTAATATTTCTATTTAATTATTGAATATTAATTTTATTGAATATTAATGAATAAATTTTTTGTTCAATAGCGGAAGGTGTAACTATAGGTCCCTTTATGAAAGAACCTACTCTTGATGAAAGTTTAAAACAACCCAAACATATAATGGTGACTAAAATTAATATCGAGAAAATTGATATCCAGAATGTACAGACGGTTAGACTGTTTTTATTTCAATATATTTTTCTTAAAAATTTTCATATATTACTGATTTATATACATTAATAAAGGTTCGACAATTGTTTCATTCTTTCTTAAAAGAGAATGTAGAATATGCAAAAATTATGGAAAAATTTGTTAGAAACGAGAAGACTTTTGCTGTAGTTCGACAAAAATTTATAGATACAATTGATAGTTATTTCCAGGTGCATTGCAATTTTATTATTTTTTTATTATTTAACAAATTAATTGAAAATAATAATATTGAACAAAACTTTATTTAGAATTTTTCTTAATTTTTTTAAATTATTCCTTCCTAGTCAAAGAGAAGTGTAGATGATGCGCGTGATGAATTAAACAAATACCGACAAGTTCGACAAGTTTTAGAATTAGAAGATTTAGAAAAAAAAGATAATGTATGTGAAATTGAAAGAACAATTGAACAAAATCTTTTATGTTATGAAAAAGTGTCAATTAATTTAGAAGAAGAGGTTAATCAGATACAAAATGAAATTAACATGTTATCAAATCAACGCGTTGAAATGAAGTTAAAGCTAGAATGTGGTTTTCGAAAATATTGTAAACAAAAGAATATTTTATTGCATAGTACTGAAAAATTGATGAAAATATTGTTGGAATCTGAAGTAGATAATCTGAAAATGATTCAATATAAGTTCAATAAGTTTCAACGAATGATGTTGCGTAAAACAGAAGTAAATATTATTTTAATTTAAATACTTGAATTTTAAAATTTTAAAATTTTTTAATCTTGCTTTTTCTTTTATATTAGGAATTAGAAAGAACAAAAAAAGTTCGTTTTGATAAAGGAATATGCAATAGTGCTAATACATAGCTAACGAAAATATTATCTTCTTAGCAATAAATATTAATATTTAGTATACAAATAAAAGCATTTTTGAATAATTTTAAATTGTAGTTTGTAATTTAAACGCAAAAAATTATCATTAATGTGAATGAAAACTATATATAGACAAGTAAAGTAAATTATAAAAGAAAAAAAAAGATAGGGGAAGCAAAATATTAAATCAGCGCCATCTTTAGAGTGTCGCAAATAAAACACACAAAAAAAAAAAAAATAGAAAATAATTGGAGAAAGATAGAAATAAAATAATAATGAACTGTTAACGCCATCTTTTGAGTGTCTTTGAAAATAGGAATATTTTTCTAAAAAATATTCAAAAGATGGTACTAACAGTCAATTCTTATCCTACTTTATCTTTCTATTAAATGAAAATATTTTATTCGAGAGATGGCACTAAGGGTCAATTCTTATTTACTATCTATTTTTCTCTTGCTATTTTTTATCTTTTTTTTTTTTCATTTTTTTTCATTTGTGACATTTTAGAGATAACACTGATTTAAATATTTTTATACTATTTCTGTCCTTTTTTCATTATTTGCTCTCTTTATCTAAATTTGTTCTATTATTTGTTTATGCATTCAAAAGGCTTCGATAATTTTATTATCTTTTTTGTTTATTCTATTGATTATAAAATTAAATTTTATTTTAATATTAATATTTAGAATAATAAAATATTAAAGAATAATAAAATTATTAACATAAAATTAAAATTTA